CACAATCATAAACTTAATTAAAATTCAAAGCTGTTATTCATAGCAAGATGCTTGTAGCTATGTAATTTGAATGGCAAAACAATGTATCATACAGTATTGCGCTCACCACTGGTCTCTGTGGTTTGATTTCAATCCCAGGTCCAGGTGTCCATGAAGTTCAACGGCCAGTCCTCGGTGGAGGTCCACCCTCACAGTAACCTGGAAGAACTGAAGACAGTGACAACAATTAGCTTGTACATGAGAGTGGACCCTGACAAGGATCCCATTGAGGACCGTTTCATCCTTTACCTGGGAGACAGAAATGTAAGGAGAGATTTAGCTGCTCCTTCGTTGATTCACAATGCGTTGAGGGAACCAACTGCTTAATGTAGTGGCTGGGTATGTGACCCATGGCCGTTGCTAAAACTTCGCAGACCAGCACACGGTGGCTGAGGTCAATGATGACGTGCAGGGAGCAGCTTGTGGATATGAATAGTTTGTTGTGATCGTGGGAGCAGGAATAACAGCCTTTGAAATTGCACAGTTGCCCCATTCAAAAGGTCTCCAAGAGACGCCTGCGACAATGCTGCATGTGAGTAGCTTCAAAGTTAGAGTTCATTTACATAAATACCGTTAGCCCGCCCACCGGGGGGCACAGAAAGAGAGCAGCTACACAATGTGAGGCCTCTGTGTTCTGTTGAACATTTTACCTTGGTGGTTTCACTGCGACTAAACTGTACTGCATGCAGTAGTGTTGGTATTAGGATTCGGCCTGTATTCCAGGTTTAACCAAGGTTTCCCTGGAGGAGAATCATGTTATAAAGCAGTGGTGAGTGGTAATAAAATGTACTGGGGGGGAATAAACTGAAGCCAGGCTAACCAAAAACAACACAATATGCCAATCCTGTAGGCTTTATCGAGCTGCTGAGCAATGCAAAGCCTGCCGCAAAAATGTTGCCCCATTGTGTTTAAATGACTGCGGCAACTTTCATATCGTTTACATTTTTTAGTGAGATGTATTTAGGTCTCGCACCCCCGTCGGACACTTTGAAACAGCAAACAGGGGAAGCAATAAATGTTATTACTTACACCACATCCAGTTAGTCAACTCGGTTTCTCATAACAAGAGCGGGATCACCCACGTGTGTAAGCTCGTCCTCATCACTTCCCGGCTGCTGAATCTGTAAATAGGGTCAGTCGGGACCAAGCTCCTTTATCCTCAGATCCCGTGGTTGCCCAAACTTTAAAAACTCCCATTCACTACCATTTGGCCGACGCCCCACACCCAGGAGTATATGTATTTAGACAGAAATCAACCAGATATAAATTGAAAACAACTTATATTGAATACTCACAGGCACTTATGGTCTACCAGGAGTATTGTATGAGTTAATTATTATTATTATATAAATTATTATGTTCAACATTTTCATACGGGCTTTTTGGTCTCAGGATGTTTGAGGGGGCGGCACCGCATATTAACCAGCTGCCAAAGGCCCTGCTGGGAAAACTCACTCTGTTGTTTTCTGATGATTATGTCCTCAGGGTACGAAAGACTACATGGGTCTGGCTATCAAGAACGACAACCTGGTGTACGTGTACAACCTCGGGGGGGAGGATGTTGAGATCCCGCTGAGTTCAAAGCCTGTCAGCCAATGGCCTGCAGTCTTCAACTACATCAAAGTAGAGAGGTAAGATGTGTAAATGGGCCCTGGAGACATCAACTTTGGACAAGAAGCAGTTGTACAAACAGATCTGTTCAAGTGGCACACACAAGAGATTTGGCTTTTATGTCAGATTCCCCATTGTCATCAGACTGAAGCTGAAATTTAAAGATGTTACTGCAAACAAACAAATTTATAATGAACAAAAAACACTTTTAGATACCCTGTAGATTCACTGGCCACTAGCAGCACTGCAATATCTTTTTTAAACAATACCATCAATCAATCTAATTTTATTTGTATAGCCCATATTCACTAATCACAATTTGTCTCATAGGGCTTTCAATACCTAATATTTTACAAAATACTTTAAGTTGACAGTGTGTGCAAACACTTTCAGCACGAAGCAGCTCACATCTCATTTTATTTGTTGACAAGAAAAACAGTGAAGAATAAGATGATTGCTTGCAAGCAGAGGTTGTGTCTGAAATCACTCCTCATTTATAACCCCACGATATCAATAAATAGATAAAAATCAACTCAATAGTTGGCTCAACAGTGAAAACTAATATTTGATACTGCATCACGGGATTGTTAGTAGAAAGTAGTGTACAACACATGGACTGCAGACAAAAAGACCTCAGAGATACTTACAGTAGGTGAAGGTGAGTAGCACTGACTTTATACATAAATTCAACTTTAACTTTTAAATAATATTTAGTTTCTATCTACATTCAGCTGTTTTTTTTTACATGACTTGAAAAGCACTGTCAAGCACACCATGATCATTGAGTAACTTTCCCTACCAGTTGCCTTCAGTGAAAAGTTAGGAGAATGGATTATTCTAGTGATACAATCAAATCTCAATTTGGCAACATTCAAACAAACCAATTATAATATGACATATAACATCAAAACTGTACTCTATCTTACTTGGAGGATGCAAGCTCGAAAAAGAGAGATCCATGGTACACAAATCAAGCTCATCATCCCACATGTCTCTTAGAGCTAGATGGTATTAAAATGACTTTTGTGTCTTTGTGATTTCTGTCTGAAGGTTGGGCAGACATGGAAAAGTCTTCCTGACCGTCCCCAGTCAGAGCTCCACAGACGAGCAGAAGTTCATCCAGAAAGGCGAGGCTCCAGGCACAGACTCACTGTTTGACATTGACCCCAAGGACATAGTGTTCTTTGTTGGTGGTGTCCCACCAGATGTCAGGGTAATATATTTCAAAAATGTCCTAAATACAAATAAATATCTATTTAATAACCAGTGTTTTTTACATGGGATTGTGTTGTGTAATTGTTTTCAACCTAGCTTCCTCCTCCTCTGAGTCTCGCTCCTTTTGTGGGCTGCATCGAGTTGGCCTCGCTCAACAATGACGTGATCAGTCTGTACAATTTCAAGGAGACTCACAAAATTGATGTGTCGACATCATCGCCATGCCCCAGGTACACTTTTACATGTCTGGATTAACTCATCTACATTCCACATTCTCTGTTCTCTCAAAACACAATCCACAGAGCAGAATAAAGAGTATCTGCCTGTGGCTCACACAGTCGAAATGGACACGCTAAAATCAGTCAGTAGGAGAACTTGGCTCCAGTTTGTTGTGCTGTTGAGTTGTATTATTTCATTTGGTTAGGTGTTCCTATCATTTTTTTAAAATGCAATACAGCTCAACATCTCGCTTGTATTAGTTTTAGTTGGGTGTACCTAATTTACTGATGACTGAGTGAATGTGCACCATGTTAACACAACCACTTTAAGTAGATTTTGACTCTGGGCCTAAACATTAGTTTTGTGTTGACGTTGGTATTGTTCTTTGGTGGTTCTCATGTTTCTCTTAGGTACAAGTTGGCATTCTCACAGAGTCGCATCGCCAGCTATCTCTTTGATGGAACAGGCTACGCTCTCATCAACAACATTGAGAGGAGGAGCAAATTTGGTGTTGTCACCAGATTTGATATCGCAGTACGAACAGTTGCAAACAATGGCGTGCTTTTTGTCATGGTCAATGGGGTAAGTCCAAAGATTGTCAAGTGACATCTTGAAATATATTTTAAGACAGGAACTTGCCCTATACAGCAATTTGTATGGTATTATATAACATTTCTTTCACATACCCGTGACGGTTGAAGTAGTAGTGCAGAAACACATTTAATTATAAACTGCACTAAATTATTATGCATTTTATTTTCTCTTTTGCAGGACAAATTCTTCCTTTTAGAATTGAAGAATGGCTTTTTGCGACTAATGTATGACTTTGGCTTCAGCGATGGGCCGAGGCTTTTGGACAATAATTTACCAAAACTGCAAATAAATGACGCACGATACCATGAGGTACATTTCACATTTGTAATTTACTTGGCTGAACATGTATGAATTATGTTTTGCTATAACTGTTCGTGTTGGGGTTTGTGCATAGTTGTCAGTCATCTACCATCAGTCAAAGAAGGTGATCCTACTAGTGGACAAAAGCCATGTTAAATCTATGGAGAATCCAAAAACCACACTGCCCTTCTCAGATATATACATCGGTGGGGCTCCGTCAAGCGTCCTCAAATCCAGGTGAGTAACAATAAAATAGCATTAAAGAGAAACTGATTTTATTTCTGAAAGTCTGAAGATAAGTCATGTTTCTACCTCAGTAATTACTCCCCTTGTCTAACTCTAGTTATGCCTCCAGCTACAGCTGTGGCTGGAGTTTCAGTTTCTTCGTACTTGTGTTCAGACGTCCCTTCCGTTCTCTTGAACATATATCTCAGAAATGCTTTGAGAGAGCATATTCATATTTGGCCCAACTTTTATTTTCAACTTAAGGATGATTGCATTTTGGTGGTCCAAGGTTAATGTCTCAATGACCACACAAAACACAATATTTGTTATGACAAAGGTCAAATATTCAGCTGCAACATTCAACTTTACCACTAGAGGTCATTACATTCTGCACACTGTACCTTTAACTTAGTAGCTGCTAACTTTGTCTGTCTGTGGCCTCATTTCTGTTCCATTCTTGTGAGCATGATCTTTTCGCAAACACAGTTTTATTATTAAACAATGTCATAACTACGGAACAGGCAGACATCCTCATGATGGTGACAATACTGTATGTGTATCATCCCAGGCCAGAGCTGTCTGCTGTAGTCAGCCTTAAAGGCTGTGTGAAAGGTTTCCAGTTCCAGAAAAAAGACTTCAACCTACTCGAGGAGCCTGGCACCATTGGCATCAGCAGTGGCTGCCCTGAGGAGTCCTTTGTAAGTGCTCCCTCACATTCCCTTCTCACTTTGTCACTGATGATGCACTGTTAATGTCCCTTTTGAATCAGTACCTCATAGATCAACACACATCTGCACATACACAAGCTTTCACTTAGTTGCCCTACCGCTTTTGTATGAGTTTTGTCAAATCCTATCCGTAGGCTGCATGGTGAGTGAAAGCTTTTTCGGAGATGAAAGTGAATTGTGTTTTTTTTTTTATCATGATAGATGTCCCATAAGGCCTATTTCACTGGAGAGAGCTACCTGGGATCCACAGGAAAGATTTCACCCTGCGACAGCTTTGAGGGAGGACTCAACTTCAGAACACTTCAGCCCAGCGGTCTTCTGTTCTACCACAGTGAAGGGGTACACACAAATCCATGTTTGTATTGCAAATCTGTTAGTTAGGTGTCAGTTTAATTTCTGAGGACCAACAGAAACAATTACAAAGAATGCTGTAATGGAGAACAGGACTCTTTTTATAAGACCTTCTTGTGCTGCTGAATGACAAATATACTCCATAGTACCTATATAGCTTATAACAAATTATATTGGGTAATTTTATTTTCTCCTTCTACAGTCTGATGAGTTCAGCATCTCCCTGGAGAACGGAGCAGTGGTGATGAACACCAGAGGCACAAGAGTCAAATCACACAAGAAACAATACAGCGATGGAAGGACACACTTCTTAGTGGCCTCAGTGAACAATCAGAAGTAAGTGTTTGACTGAGCAGCTGCAGAATCCCGCAGCAGCTGTTCCACCCCCTCTTTATCTTGTTTCCACATTAATATATGATGTCATCACACGCACATTTATTTATTGTCCTGTATTAATTGTTTTATTTTTCCTGTGTTGTTCCGTCAATGTTTCATTTATAGTATCATTTTTGTGGCATGGACATTTTCTTATTAATTTAATTGCTCAATTGCTTAACTATCTGTCATGCGATCATTGAAACTCTCAGATCTAGATAAGCAAGTGCATGGTTTCTAGTTTCATACCAACCCTACTGGTGTGTAGGTAAGATCACATTGACATTAACAATGGATGTGGTGCAACCCATGAGTATTGTGTAATGGTTACTGACTCCCCAGTGGTTTTTCTGTAGTTTAAATATGCTGCATTAAAAAAAGATGGTAGGTAAACAGATGGTAGGAAAAGTGGGTTCACACTTAAGCAGGCAGTTAGAAAATTCAGTGAATTGATGACAACACTAAGTGTCAGAACCAAATTTGTTAACTGGTTGAACTGTTCACTGTAGGTATTCTCTGTTGGTGGATGACAAAGACAAACAGGAGAAGAAACGTCCATCGTCAGCCACAAGACCCTCATCGGGCTCTGCTGTAAAGTCCTTCTACTACGGAGGGTCTCCAAGCAGCAGCTTCAAGAACTTCACAGGCTGCATCAGTTATGCCTACATCAACAGGTAAATCACTACAGCTTTGTTTGAGGAGGTCACTCTCAAATAAAGTAGGTTAAGGACAGGGTGTTAGTTGCTATGAAGACATGATAGCATATTGAGAGCATCTATAACTTTTACATGGCACTCTTGTACTCACATGCTCACCCTGCTTCTGTTTGTGTTTCTGTAGACAAGACCGGGACATTGAGCCTGAGGACTTCCAGCGGTACACAGAGAAGGTGCAGACCTCCCTGCAGGACTGTCCAATCCAGCGCCCCCCTGCTGCTCTGCTGTCAAGGCACAGGGAGAACATCTCCAGAGCCAAATATGGCCAGTCGCAGAGGGTATGAATGAAAGATTGCCTTCCATTAAGGGATGCTTTTTGAGGATGCATGCTTTTCATTTGGTTGTAAATATTTGAGTCACAGTGACATTCAATAAACACTCTTAAAGGTTACCAGCGACAAGTCCAGCCTCCCTCTAGGCCTGATGGAACTGAAGAGTGATGACCAGGAGCCTTCTGAGCTAAACATTGAGCCCTGCTACCTCTCCTCAAGTCCCAAAGCATCTCAACAAGCCTTCCACTACGGGGGCATCGCCAACAGCAGACAGCACTACACAGATCTCCCAGACTCCATTTCAGAGAGGTACATCTAGCAGAACTATAAGTAACCTCAAGGTCAAATTATTTTAAAAACCTCCCTTTCACAGAGTCTTTGAAGGATTCCTTTATGGCAGCACGAATGACTACATACACCTTTCACCTTCCAGGTCCCACTTCTCCTTGTCCCTGAAGACTTACTCATCCTTTGGGCTCATCTTTTATGTATCTGATGTCCAAGAGGACAATTTCATGGCTCTCTTCTTGGCCCAAGGGAAGCTGGTATACACCTTCAATGTAGCAGAGCAGAGAGTCAAAATCAAGAGTGTGGAGAAATACAATGATGGTGCATGGCACAATGTAAGTTTATAAATATATTCCATGTATCAGTATTGAATGTATGGTTGTGTAAGTGCGTGTTTAGCATTGTGGCGAGATTAGCAGTGACAACCTTCTGTTTTCTCCCAATGAAGGTTATTTTTATCCGTGATGGGAGAATGGGGCGTTTAATAATTGATGGGCTCACAGTAATGGAGGACAGAGTACAGGAAAGCAACATCTCCTGGCATGTCAACAGTCCCCTCTATGTCGGTGGAGTTCCTCCTGGGAGAGCTCTAAAGAATGTTCAGGTATGGGTCAAAACTGATTTGGTTGGAAGTTTTAAAATTAAAAACACACACAGCAGGATTATTTGAACCACATGAATATTATATCAAATATCTGTAATTAATAGCCCTTTGGCATCTGCTGGAAAACACATGATCATGTAACTCTGCTGTTCACACTGACAGAAGGAAACCACCACTGCCGCACTTTCCCCTCAGAATTCAGCATCCTGATTTTCAAAGCTGCATGAATTTTTTCACCCAACTGTCAAATTATCACTTCATAAAAAAATGCAGGGATGTTTTTTTCCACTTTCTCTAACAAGACAAGGAAGGGTTTCAACCTTGGCAAAGGGAAATGTATGTACTCTTCAAGCACCCCTCTAGTAAGGGGGTTATGTTTTCATCACCGTTTTTTTTTTGTCTGTTTGTTTATCAGCATCATTACGCAAAAACTACTCAACTTTATGAATTTTGGTGGAAGGTTGTAGCTATGGCAAAGGAAGAACCCATTCAATTTTGAGTGGGTCCATATAAATGGACAAATCCAAGATTCATTTTTTTCCTTTTCTTAACATTGCAAGAAAGAAAGTTAGCCTTGTTCTTTCCAAGCACTCTACCAGTTGTTTATGAATTCAACTTTTCCTTTGTAAGAAAAAGAACGGGATACTTCTTCTTTCTATTTACACATGATGTCACATGTATTTCTACACTGCCCTATTCTTTTTGTTTATACCTCTGATGTAAGTTTCCCTGCACTTCTCTTTAGACAAACTCTGCATACAGCTTCACTGGCTGTTTGAAGAACCTTCAGCTGGATGGACAATGGCTGTCCTCTGTGACAGAAACGTTTGGGGTCACTCCTTGCTTTGACGGTCTCTCTGAGGCAGGAACATACTTCTCAAAGGAAGGAGGATACATTGTGCTAGGTACATTTGTAGTAGGCAAAGGCTTGTTAATCCTCAAACTCCAGTCAGAGAGGAATTGAGTACTACTTTTAAATCTCTTACATTTGCATTTTGCTTTTTTTTAATAGTCTCACAGAGAGTAACACTAAATTACTTTTGGCAGCATACAAATCTGAGGAACTTAGGGCCGGAGCTGCGTCTTTTGAATTTGTCAAGTAATTTCACATAATAATAAGGATAATAATAAAATAATTACAATTATAACTTCTTTTTTTTTAGTTAATTATAACTTTTCAATACAAGTAACAAAGTGTTTTACAACAAAACATATGAACCACATAAACCTAACTGATAGATAATAAGAGAAACAAATACTTTGTATTGATGTGTCTTGAAATGTGATTAAAATAATGTTTAAATCAATCCTACAATAAACATGCTAGATACTAAAGCAGGGATGATATGTTAAAATATTTGGGGACTGTATTAGAAGCTGAGCGGCAGCATTCTGCGTACAGCGCAGAGAAACATGGCTGATAAATGCAGCAAAAAGATGCTTTCCAGAATGGATGAAGTACCATGAGCTCACTTCATCTTGCTCTGTCTGCTTCCCTCTCTCAGATGAATCTTTTAACCTGGGGCTGAAGTTTGAGCTGGTGATGGAAGTGCGCCCCCGTGTGGCATCTGGGGTGCTAATGCATTTGTTCACAGCCGATGGCTTTGTTACCATGTACGCTCATCAAGGAGATGTAAGTTTATACGGTTATACAGTTATACAGAAAACTGCACACACTGGTCAGGTTATGTTGAACAAAATGAAATATCTTTTTTTTTTCAAGAGCATGAGCACCGTTTTCATGTTTTTCCAGGTTGTGGTTCTTGTAAACGATGGAACCCATGAGTTCTTCACAAAGGTGTCTCCAAGACAGGGTCTGTGTGCTGGCAACTGGCACCGAATTACAGGTGAGAATTTTCTTCCAAACACAAATTAAATTAAAATGAATTCTTATACTGAACTATAGCGTCTTTAAAGTTTGTTTGAGGGCACTTAGCTTGTCACTGTCACTTGCTGGTGCTTTTTGCTGAATTAATACTTTATTGTGATTAATTCAAGTATTCATGTGATTACTGTGTTCAAAACACAAATTTGTTGTAGGTGTGATAATACAATTAAATCATATACAGTGTGGAAGAATAAAAATTCCTTCAAGTCCAAATCCTGTGGCTGGTTCAGATTAGTTATATTTGCTGCACAGTGAAGACAGGCATCACATCAAGGCAATATAATTCTGTCCGACGGTCAACATTCAGCGATGGAAATAATTTGAAATATTTTCTTCTACAATAGAAAGTAATTTGACAGAAAGAATATAGCAGTATGTGTGTCCATTTTATGCCACTTTTATGCTGCTTTACATTTTTCCATCTTCTCTTCTGCATTTCAGAAGAAAACTATTGCACATTTTGCTCAATGACTTTGTATACACAGCTGTAGTGTGGTGGCATTTCCTCTTCATAAAGAGCAAAGTCAGCACTGGTCTTTAAAATCAATCCAGCATCTGCAGATGGACTCACAACATAGTCAAATACATGAGAGTTGCAAATGTGTGCACTGTGAGACATTGCTAACCCCAACCCTTTCTATTAGTAGTCAACAGGAAGTCACAGTGCTTTGGTTTCAAAGCTAATCTTTACCAGAGATTAGAGATTCTGAGGAGATTTTTGACTAAACTATTGCACCTGTCCTGAATGATCTCAGTGATCCGAGATGCCAATGTTGTCCAGCTGGATGTGGACTCTGAGATCAACCACGTGGTGGGACCCCTGAATGCCAGCTCCGCAGATACTAGAAAGCCAGTGTTCATAGGTGGAGCTCCAGGTGAGTAAAGAGCATGACTTCTTCTGATTTCTACTTTCTCATTTGTAATCTCGCTGACACTTTCCCTCCTTTCAGATCTGTTCCTTCCAGAGAGCCTTCCCACCAGACAGCCCTACATCGGCTGTATGAGGAACCTGACCATCAATAACAGCCCAGTGAGCTTGAGCAAAGCCGCCGTGGTCAGTGGAGCCGTCAGCGTGGGAACCTGCCCAGCAGCATAACAAATAACATTGTCAAGGCCATCACTATCCAGTAGAGCACTGACCAAACACATTAAACACGTCTCTTTCTGTTAAACATTACCATTAAGACAAGTATTGTCATTGTTTTCATACTGTCAGATTTTTGTCTTTGTTTCTGTCTTGAATTTGTTTATACAGGGAATTGTCCCACACATGACCAAATCATCCACATGTAATCATGGAAGAACAACATCCATAAATCTGTCATTAGTAAGATCAGAACCTTCCTGAGGGATCTACAGTGTGTCCATAATTGAGACTTTTATTGTTTTTACAGTTTGAAAGACACATTCGATGATATTTTATGGTCCACGACCCAACTTTATAATTTTACTGGCTTATTTTTATACAAGCTCAAAACCTTCTAATTTTTTTGTTTTATCTCTGATTAATAAATAATTTGTAACATCCAAGCCTGGGCTTCTTCCCTGTTTATTTTTATAGTATTGTAAAGTAAGTCTGCTATTTTAACAGCCCTCATGAACACTTATCTTGTGTAGTTAAACGTAGTAGTGAATAAGTATCTAAGCTCATCCATTAAACAGTTTATAACTGTTGTATTAAAATTGTAATACAAAACTAGACATTTTTAAAAAATATATATATTTCACTGCCATTTTAAATGTCAGGAATATGATAAACATCTTTATTATTAGATTAGTGACAATATTAACATAGAAATTGTCTGTAATAATGTATAATATATAATAATGCCGGATACAAGATGAAACAAGCGCTTTACCTATAAGCAATTTTATTCCATGAGGAAAAAGTAAGTGGCCCATCATCATGGGATGAGAAGCAGTGAAGAGTAGAATAAACAGGTTAGCTTGGCAGGAGGTGTTGCCCTGGTCCTAACTCTTGACATTTCAGAGACAGCAGAGGGATCACTGTGGTGGTTGAGAAGTTTGTCTGTCTTTTCTTGGGGACTTTGACTTGATGGTAGGTATTAACTGGTTTGAAATTGGATCAGGATGGCACTACAGGTAGGGATGGAGATGAACAAATGGATTTTGATGACTGGCTTGATGAGGATTTCAGAGCATCTACCAGCCGAACCAGAAAAAGGTTTAGTGAATAATTCAGATGAAGGTAACAAGGTTGCTTAATAGAAAGGTGGAGGTAAATGTTAAGTCCAATTGCATTGTCAAGGGAGCTGACAAAGAAGTTAGAAGATGTAGAAATGGATTATTTGAGAGGGTGTGTGCAAGTGGTGAGAATGTGAGTCGTAATTAAGGATTCTTTTTGGGTTGGTCAAATGCAGAGATGAAGAACAAAGAAATAAAGTGTTGCACGTTGAAAGCATCTGCAAAGACGTTGTGTAAGCGAAGAGTTCTGGGTCAGAATAAAGTTTGGCTTGAAGATTTGGAAAAACCAATGCAAGGTTTTCATGGAGGAGAGGTGAGGAGGCTCAAAAGGTTAAGAACTGTAAATGGGGATAGAATTTTAGGTTTGTTGGTGCTTCTGAAGTTTCAGGACTTGGTGCTTCCTGTTAAAATAAAAATTGGTTACATGAGTTTCCGAGACAGGCCTTATGATCCTCCTCCTCTTCTGTGTTGTAAATGCCACAGGTATGGGCATATAGCAATGGCCCGTAACGGGAAACAAGGTGTGCAAACAATGCTGAGGCAAGCTTAGATTCGAGGACGATTGAGATAATGAACAGGTTAAATATTGGAACTGTGGTGGCCAGCACAATGTGTCATATAAATAGCAATGGAAATCCAACAAGTGAGAGTCGCTAACAACATAGGTTTTGCTGAAACAGTGAAAAGAGTGCAAGGGCAGAAGAAAAGGAAAGAAGCAGAAGTTCAAGATCATGAGAAATCAAAGAGAACAAGCTAATATGCCTCCAGTAAGGAAAAGCTAATTCTGTTCATAGCGTATGTAATCAACTGCACAGATCAAGTTAAACGCAAAACAGAGAAAATTAAAATAACTGAGAAAGGAGCGTCTTGGATATAAAAAGATTTATCTTGGGAACACATTAACAGAAGGCTTGAGGCAGATGAGAGGCCGGAATGAACCATATGATGATGACAATGGAATGTAAGGAGTTTAATAGCAAACGGTGAGAAACGAATACAGAAGATTGCAAGCTAATGTGAGGAAGACAATTTAAAATGCAAAAGACAGACTTTTATAGGACAGTTTGTAATTCAGTTGGAAGACAAATAGAAATTGTGGGGAATAATTAAAAGAATGAATGGAAGCGGCAGCAGTAACAGATGAGTAGAAAACAGAAATGTTGGCACAGACTCATCAAAGTTCATGGTTCTAGTTTAATTAGAGGAGGAGGGACAAGCTGAAGGGAAGCTATTGGCTGATGCTTACAAGTCTGTTATGCTCTGCCCTCTCTGGTGACCACTACACCATTCTGCTTGCCCCAGCAAACACTCCGGTCATAAGGAGGGCAAAGAAGGTTACTAAGATAAGATAAGATAATCCTTCATTAGTCCCACAAAGAGGGGATAAAACCAATAGGCAGTGGACCAGTCAACATAACAAGGATGCTTTGAATCCTTTGATTGGAACACCCTCTTAGCCCCCTCCAACATCATCAATGAGCAAGTGAATGCTGTTTAATCCCTACCAAAACAGTCACAATCTTCCCCCAACAATAAACCATGGATAACCAAAGAGCTCAAGGAAATCATCAACAGGAAGATATGAGTCTTCTTTACTAGCTCCCAGACTGAAAAAAGGAGGTCAAGAAAGAGGTCAAACATGCCATTGAATCTGGCGGAGGTGGAAGTACAAATAAAAAGTGGAAGACGAGTTCACACAAAGGATCCTCCGCTCAGCTTGGCAGGGCCTCAAGGTTCCAGGCAGCAGTCCTCCATCACTTACCAAAGATCTCAACTCCTTTTACAACAGATTTGAGACAACTCCACCCGGCTTGGGCGGCAACAGCCTCACTCAAAACTGGCAGCTAGGGGGCGTGCTCTATGGACAGCAGCACAGTCCCCCGGCTGATGGAAGACTCCACTGTCATCCCAATCCCCAAGAAAATCACCACCAAAGATCTGAATGTCCTCAGAGCTGTGGCTCTAACTTCCCTCGTGATGACGGCCATGGAAAGGGTCATAAAACACCACACCGTCGAAATAACTGACTCCCTTATGGACCCACTCCTCTCAAATTTCATCGTGTGCACAAACATCCGGAGCACATAAACACCTCAGTCAGATTCCTCTTTGCAGAATTCTCCTCTGCAATCAACACCCTTCAGCCTCACATCCTGGCTGACAAACCCTCCTCCCACTCCCATCCAGACGACCTACTTATCCTGTGGATGCTGGACTTTCTCACCAACGGATCACAGAGACCCCTTGTCAACAACATCTTAACCAATCTCCATTTCACCTTCACTGGCCCCCGTCAGGGCTGTGTGCTCTAGTTCTATATCCTCTACACCGATGACTTCAGATCCAAAAATACCAACAATCACATAAGATCTTTACGCTGGTTCCGTGTGTGTCAAAGAATTGACTTCAAAATCCTAGTTTTGGTAATGAAGCGCTGGTCTGTTTAGAACCAATATACATTTCTGATCTCATGCTACATTATGAACCATCCAGACCTCTCAGGTCGTCTGGAACCGGTCTGCTGTCCCTGTCCCCAGAGTCAAAACTAAACATGGAGAAGAAGCGTTCAGTTTCTATGCTCAACAACAACAAGCTTCCGAAGAACTGCTGGTCAGCTGCAATTCTTAGTTAGTTTAAATCAATGCTGAAGACTTTCCTGTTTGCCATGGCCTTTTATTAAATCATACGATGACTAATTTATTAAACTGCAATTTCTTACTCTTTGTATTTATTGTTTTATTTTGTATTTAACTCTTTTAATTTATTTTTAAATGTTTTTTTGTATTGTTTCTTGCTGTTACAATTTGTCAGGATGCCTTTTGAATATGATGTAAAGGACTTGTTGTTGAAATGTGTGTACATATAAACTTGCCTTGCCTCTGCAGCTCTCACTCACCTATTGGTCGTTGGCTCGTCCCTCCAACTGCAGTGTGTAAACCTGCCTTCACTCTCTGTCTCAGGTTGTTGTGGTTAAATTCTTCTCATTCCTTGTTTTGCTACTTGACTGATCTGTTTTTCCTCTCATGTCCCAAGTCCATTAAACACCTGTCTTCTGCTGTTTCAAGCTGCTTATCTGCCCACCCCATGACTCTCCACCATCTTCTCCTATTCCCTGGTTTAACCAGCCTGCTCCTGCTCCCACGCCTCAGGATCACTTCTTATTAAACCCTCGTTAAAACCTTATCACTGTAAACCCTCCGTCTCCGTGTCTGTGTCTGCATCAGGGTTTGTCACAGTGTTCCTGACAAGGTTACACTTTACAGAACTGAATTACTTATAATATGAAAACATAACATATGAAGGTGTGAATTTTGAAATCAACAGGAAACTTAAGAACGTGTACTGTCCAAAATATGAAGTTGAGATAAGGGAACTGATACTGAACCATAAAGAAATAAAGCTGACAACAAATTTGATAGAGAGAATATAACTTTATTTATGTATAAAATAAAAAGTGACTATATTGAGGTTCCCGATCCACACTCCCTACCAGCTGGTGGCGGTAATGAGCCATAGCGTTGTTTGCCAACTGCCATAAAACATCTAAAGGAGGAAAAAGGAGTAGGTGTTGCCCTAGCAACGTCTCCAATACGCAGCCGGGTTCCGTAACGCGTCATCAGAACTCGACCAAACACCGCCGAGGCGCGAGTTTAAAGAAGCATTCAAAAGGTTTTGAGGATAAACGTGAACACGAAGGATTCGGAGGTGTGACGCCGTGGGAACGCGCGTGTCGCCGCTGCCATGACACAGTCAGTTGTGGTCCAGGGTGAGTCAAACACTCGCTTCGATGTCAGCGTTAGCTTAGCTAGCTGACAGCTACATGCTGTGTGCGGCTCTGCGGCTCTGCTCGTTCACTTGGTTCACGGCTCATGTAACGAATTATCAAATCACTCCCGTGTTCTCCAGTGGGACAGTGTGGGAACCAGGTCGGCTGCAGGTTTTGGGATCTTGCTCTGCGAGAACATGCTCACGTCAACAAGGTAAGTGCAAATACACTACCACTGAACTCCATAACAACTCGGTGAGTGACGCAGAATACCACAGACAGATCTGCTTCCTCTGTGTTTGAGAAGACAGGGACTAAACCCGAAGCACAGCAGACGTTTCAGAAATGTCACACATGTGGAAATGATAGCATTGTTGTTGGATGCATCCTGTTTCATGGTGACACTCGAATGGAATGGTGCAAAGATGGATTCCTGTTGTAACTTGGTCTGCTATCTATTGCATGTCCAAAATGTCTGTGTCTCACTCACAGAAGACAACTGGGCCCAGGGCCTACACAAGGCATGGGATTGGCTGGTTTACTGCCCCCACCTCAGGAGATTTTGGGTCAGTGTGTGCTGTGCGATTCCAACAGACTAATTGATTACTAAATGAGTTGTAATCTTTTCTTTTAATTGATTATAATCAATCAAATTAGTTATTTGTTGCATCCCTAGTTCTAATCGATAAAATCAACCCTGCACACCTTCACTGCAAAGGCTGCAGCGGCAGTGGCAAGGTGCCATCAAAGTTACACAACTTCTGCACAGTCAGTTGATATTCCACCCTCAGGGCCTGTGCGGTGGGTTTAGTTGCATACAGCAGCAAGAGACACATGTTTGTGTCAATCACAGACTGAGAATTTGTAACAACAACAGTAGATGAGTTTAGCATGCAGGTTACACAAAAGGTCACATGAACAAAATATTTACATTAATGCTGCTACTCGTTATTTCACTTTATTCACACTTACTTTCACACAGCTTGTCCCTTAGTACAGTATAATGTGCGGCGGCACCACAGCAATGAAGATAATAGACAACCCACATTAGCTGCAGATCTAATGGCAGTCTAACCAGAAAAATACATAACAAAACAACATAAAATGGCAAAACTTACAGCTCAAGTCCACCGATCAATTCTTCAGCTTCATTTTTGAAGCTAATCCAGTGTTGTACTGACCCTCGTTGAGGAGCCAGCTAGATGTAAAATAATTAGCTCACACATACAACACCTTAACAGTTGTAAAAATACAAAAAAAATCCACTGTGTCTTTAAAACCTCAAATGTAGGGAGAACAGGGAGACTTCTGAGTTGGTTTGTGCAGCCTGCAGAGCTGCAGGCCTGCTTCCTCATACCTGCTGCATCTCTGTCTACCAGAGATCTGTTAGCGGGGAAGTCCATCATGGCGGCTGCGAGGTAGATTTACTCAGATACTGTGGGTGGAACAAACGGGCAAAACCTTGCTCCATAAGTGTCAATCAACCTGGAGCCCATAGGACGTCGTATGGGGCTTGAGATCAGAATGAGTTTTTTCAGAAAGGTGAAGCAAGCAAAAGTGAGTTTTTGAAAAAGTGTATTTTGCATAATATGCAAATGGAGGCCCCTTCTTATTTTTGTCTTATCCTTTATAGACAGACCTGCAATAACTTCCAACAATGTCTAAGCACAGTCCTCACAACCTTTGTTGTTTCCTTTTCAGATAGGAGAATATGACGAGGCTCTTTGTAGCTTTTTCCGGAATGTGGACTCAAGGTAATCGCAACAGTTACTGTTCCATGGGTTAAGACAGTATCTGCCAGAGTGGTCTAAACGTAATCCTTTTCATTACTGGTGTGCTTTTCCAGAAATAGAGCCTGTGGTGTCGGCAGCGGAATCCAACATCTTAAGGCCCGAGTAAGTCGTTTCAATTTCCAGACAACAGCTTGAAAGAACCAGCTCGGGGAAGGATGGTCAGGCTGTAACTGTTATGGAAGTTTTCTGTAATCTGGTGAAGGGAGAACTCAGGCAGCAGCAGAAGATTTTAATGTAGATTTGATGCATCAAGGAGACCAGAAGGTGGAACAATATACAAACACTAACAGAGTAACATGAGCAATTGTCCCCCCCGCCCCCAAGTCTGAAGATGTCTCCCACAGTCTACTTATATATCTTCCTCTACTTGTGTCACCCATTCTAACAGCACATGCATGAATGGCTAGAATTGGTGTCGCTCCATGTTACATGTAGGTGTTTGCTTCCAATTGGACGGTTAAATCTAAATATGCATTCCTAAATCACATTGTGTCATTACGTCTTGCCACTGGTGTAATACACAAAAAGAGTTGAAGTTGGTGAGAGTTGAAGTTGGTGTCTGTCTGTTCTGGGGCATCTGAGTTAGATATGAAAGTCCCTGAGCGTAGACACTACAAGTTACTTCTAGTTGGCCCATTATCTATAACTTGACCTTTGATTCTGCTTAGAGAAAGAAGGGAGTGTGTGTGCAATTAGACAGGCACTCTTTTCTTAATGGTCTACGGATATAATGTAATATACACTATATATACATAAAACTGTATATAGTGGCATATATAGTAATGTGTGAAATTAATACAAAAAATCCTCAATGGTAACAATCCAAAATCACAGCATCAAGATCAACAATTCAGTGATAACGATTAAAGATAGTTCATATCACTGTTTTTAATATTTTGCCTCAAAGAAGAACACTGATGGATTTTATGACTTGTCGAGATCGTGGGATAGGTTACAACCAATGATCATCAACAAACCAGTGATTATTACACCCAGAGGAGTTTGTTAAAGTATAATTCATACTAAGAACATTTGGAGCTGTTTTCAACTAACATTTCTTGTTTAGATTTATTATTCCAAGTGAAACTGAAATGTCTGTACCCTATTCTGCGGAGAACCTTTGTGTGGATTTTCTAAAGCTCAACTTCAAAGAGTTTTGGGAGTAGATCATATGCATGTGCCTGGAGTGTCTGGAAATGAAATATATGTGTGGGCCTCATATCCGCATATTTGAGTCCACAGGCGGTGCTGGTGGACATGGAGGAGGGTGTGGTCAATGAGATCCTGCAAGGCCCACTGAGAGAAGTGTTCGACAGCACTCAGCTCCTCACAGACGTGTCAGGTTCAGGCAACAACTGGTGAGAGACAGACGAGCCATGGGATACCACCTCATAAGCTCACGCGGCCTGTAGCAACTGTTCTGAACCATAGTTTTTACCGTAGGTGTTTGCCGCACATGCAATGACACTGTTCATGATAGGATGCGGTGTTTAGGGTTTGTCCAAATCAGTTCTAAATAAAATCCCTTGATTGAAAGGATTAATTCTGCTTTTTTTATTCAACTTAATCACTTCAAATCCTCAAGAGTATAAAAGAGCAAGAAATATAGATGGGGGTAATGCACCTTGAGGTTGGTTGCCACCTGCCAATAAACCAAACAAAGAAGAAGAAAAGGTTTGAAAAAGTTTAGAAGTGCTTGGAGAATTGTTTTTTTTTTCCCCTGTTGTCCTCTCAAGCCCATCAAATGTAATTTAGGTGAAAGTTCATTGGTGTTTCTCAACAGGGCTGGTGTGGATATTACCACTATAATTTCTCCTTGCCTGACAGCCATGACCCCGGAAACTTTTTTTTATGACTATTCTTTTGTGTTTTTGGATAATTGGTCAAGCCGATGCTTTTTTCAGTTTGAGTCTTTGTTTCAGATAAATTAATTCACACTACTTTCAAGTCGTCACACTTTAATTACATCGAAATTTGTGTCAGTTTATTCTTTATGGAGAAATTACAATGTTTTATGATGAGTGTTTGAATGTGTTTGTCAATACTGATTCAATTGCTTGCTTCTTTTTTTAATCGATCCCAAATTAATAATCTCATCGTTTTATTTATTAGCAACACTGCTCATAACTTGACAGTAACATACCTGCTTTTTTGTGCAGGGCGGTTGGACACATGACATACGGCTCAGCCTACAGGGAGCAGATAGTGGAGAAGCTGCGAAAGGCAGCAGAGCACTGTGACTGTCTGCAGTGTTTTTTTCTCATTCACTCTATGGGAGGAGGTAAGGCATGAAAGTGTTTGAGCATATGGATTAATGGATGCTTAAAACTGTACTTAAAACATTACCTCCATTCATTTATTTTGCACAGATTGAAGTCCAGATACTTTTGCTAAATTTATACAATCAGTTTAAACTCTATTACTGATGCGAGACATTGCTTCATACTGTTAATCCTCTGCTCATGCGTGGAATCAATTATGTTTAAATTTCCTGTGACCAAGTTCCTGTACTCAAATCTAAAGAGTCCTGAACAGAAGGACTCAGTTCACTATTGCTTGTGCTGATGTTTCCTGTCACCCCCACAGCACAGCTGTCACAGAAATTATTTCCTCATCGGAACTTAAAAAATGTGACCAGGTTACCTACACAGCCGGAAATTCCGATTTCTTGATGTGCAGATGTTTTTCATGATCTGGTTACTGCAGAGAGCTTCCTCCTTTAGTGCAAGTAATCCTTCCTGACTGACTTTGAGGTACCGGTTCCGGCTTGGGGACCAGAGTGCTGAGCCTGCTGGGAGAGGAATTCCCAGAGGTGTGTCGAATTGTTACCTCGGTCTATCCATCTGCGGAGGATGATGTCATCACCTCCCCTTACAACAGTGTCCTGGCCATGAAAGAGCTCACAGAGCACGCAGACTGTGTCATTCCAGTGGAAAACCAGGTTTGTCCATGTGTGAAAACTATGTAAACATCTCTATTGCATGTATGTAACCATCAATAACTATTGACTGTTTTTGTCCCGCCTCACTTCTCCTCCAGTCATTGGTTGACATTGTGAGTAAGATTAAACACATGTCTGACGGTGGAAAGCCAGGGCGGGTGATCAAGAGAGACAGTACCATCATCTCTGGAGAGGGCGGCCTCAGCAGGGCAGAGAAGCCCTTTGATGCCATGAATAACATTGTGGCTAACCTGTTGCTCAATATTACCAGGTACAGTATTACTGTGCATGTGCTGATTTAGAATGAACCCCTGTATACGGAAAGGAGTGGAGACTGTATCACAATATTTACTTAACTACTGGACATGCTGAAATGTTTTTCTCTTTTTGTGGTGATAGCAAGTGTAATATATTAATGCTTATTCTATAAAATGTATTTTTATAATCTATAATTCTAAAATACTGAAACGAAACACAACATAAAGCGTTTAAGATAACAACGTCAGAGCTCCTTGTCTCATTAGATTGTCTGTCTTCGGAACAGTATTTCCCTATAGATATGGTATCATTTGGTGTTTTGACATGTGGCGGTGAAGGGAACAGTCTCAGACTCTAATCCAAATTTGCCCATTTTTGTTCAAATCCTATGTTGCGAACACAACATAGGATTTATGTGAGTACATTCAGTCAGAACCTGAGACATGTAGAAATGCATCTTTTGTCTAAAGTCACGTTTTTTAAGTGAGTAAGAGTTTGTAGCCACTAGTAGCACAATGGGGCAACACTGCTTCATTTGTTTTTTTGTTTGCGCATCGCACAACCACAATCCTGGCAATGGTTTCACACTATTTACCTGACTGATAATGCACCAAGCAACACAGCAATGTGTAAAAACAAAGACGAAGTAGAAGACAGCCTGCAATTTTAAAATTGGCTAAAATGTCAAAAACAGCTCTACAAAGATTTCGTGAGATTGAACATTTGTTCAACAGGGGTGCACCTCAATGCTACTCATAAAACATTTGGGTAAAAACTTTGTGTAATTATTTTGCTAAAACATTTGTTATTAGATCGCAACACAATGAGAATTGGAAATTACCTGATTAAGTTATGTGTGGTGGCAATTTCTGTGAAACAAACACAAAGTCAAACACTTCTTTCTGTACGTTTAATTCAGCATCTGCAAATGGACTCACATCACCTGAATGACATGCACAAATGAGCTTATATATAATGAACTCACAGCCCCCTCCCACTAAGCATGCAAAGGTATTTATTACCCTCCTGTAGTTCCACTCAGTGGAGGAGACATCCTGTCATTATGTGTTTACATGTTCTGTGGACGACCCCCCTGTGAGACCCCAGGTGTGACATACCAACAGATGCCATAAAGTTGTGGTTTCTCGAGGCCATAAAATTCAAGTCTCCTAAGCCACCATCATTAACCCTAAAGTTGCCCTTTTAGATAAACAATTAGATCAGTCCTCCACATGCACAAAAGACACATTTCCAATACCGGTGTCACATGAAATGTCTTATGTTATTTATCTTCTGTCTCAGCTCAGCCCGTTTTGAGGGATCTCTCAACATGGACCTGAACGAGATTGCCATGAACTTGGTGCCTTTCCCTCGTCTACACTACCTGGTGCCGAGCCTCACCCCTCTATACACACTGGCAGACGTCAGTATCCCCACCAGAAGGTCAGCTGTGTGGCTGCCATGGCTGCTATTTTTACCTCACAGTTGTTCCTGCAGAAGTCTGGTTTACTGTAGCTCACACGAACTCCATCATCCTCTGAGCATGTGCCTAATGTTATGTCATTTGATCTGTGATGAAACGGCACTGGTCACGTGGAAGAAGTAAAACAGATGGGACAATATGGTTAGCATTACATTTCGAACAAGAACATTATTCTGACATCAACAGATATTGTGATCGAGCAAATTCAAGGAAATGTATCTTCAGGCTCTGAGCTTTAGCACATTCAGTTTGAAATAAGAGTCTCAGCTTTAATTTGAGCGGGTTGTGAGAAATAGAACCCACATTTTAGGAGGCGACATGTATTTGGACTCTTTGCTGCCAAATGTTTCTTTGGCGAATATGTGTTGTTTGAATGTTATTTCATGTTCAAATACAGCTCACATGTGGCTCAGAGCTGAATGAGAGATTAAGCACATGAGCACACCTGACTTTACCCATAGATTTAGGAATTAAGTAATGGTGGCCGTTGTTGCATCTTCTTCCCATGGAAAAACATGGCTTTTAATTTTAATTAGCTTTCACTTTATCGGGCGAGACAGAGGCCACTGGCAGTTCAGAGCTACAGGCTTGTGACAGGGAATAACACCTTCTGACACACCTCCAACCCACCTCCTCATAAACAACTGCCATGAAAGTGGCCTTGTCTGAGCCATTGATAGCAGCTCATTGGTCAGACAGAGCGGCGGCTGCACTGAGTAACCCCCAGAGCTGAATATATGTGACTGTATGAATGCAAAGCAGGCTTAAAAATATCTTGCCTTCTCAGCAGAACTTCACTACATAAATAAAGGTTCAAAAATTCTGCCCCATTGGTCCCCAAGTCTAACTCAATTGTAACTCGAGTCACCGCAAGGCCTTTTTACTTGGGACATCCAGGAAATGAAGACTGACAACAAAGGCTGTTACTCCTCATTTTAAATGTAACATCTGAAATGAATTTACTGATTTTTTTTTTTTTTTTTATTTCTCATGATGTGAAAATGTCTTTCCTTTCTAACTCTAGGCTGGATCAAATGTTTAGCGACGCCTTCAGTAAAGACCACCAGCTGTTCCGATCCG